AAGGTAAGTAAAGCGGCTGGATGAGAAGAAACTCTCATGTCCCCGGTTCCTTGTCTCACTGCTTGCTTCGCTCCTCTTTATTCTTTCACTCGGTAAAGTGGCGAAAAACAAATAGACTGACCAAGCGTAAATGGAAACTCCTTCCCCTCGGCTTCGCTCCTCTCCTCTGATTCTTCTCCCTAATAAAATGATGAGAATTCCTTTCCCTCTGAGCTCCGGAACCTTTTGACGGAGGCGAATAAGAAGAAATCAGAAAAGGGGAAGACGAAGACAGAGTCAATTCGTTCCTGAACCTATCAGCTTCCCTCCTTCACCTATTCATTGTTGGTCTCACAGCTGCCTTCCCTTCTTGAACTGTAAACGAAGAAAATGAAAGAAAGATTTGCTCACTCCTGAACCTGTCCTTTACCCTTTATCTAATAAGAAGGAAGAAGAAGAAAATGAAAGAAAGAGAAGCTCTAGAACCTTTTACGAGGATAAAAGGGAGAGGAATTATCATCATTTAGTTAGGGATTCGACTGAAAAGGCACATGCAAATCTAACGGACTGGACTTCTTTCACGAGGGCCGCAATAGCTCCTACTTTCACTAAATAAGAGTTTTTCAAAGGTCAAATTCTTTCTATTCTTCTAACCTGGCTACCTCTTAACCCACATTACATGCTTTCTAATGTGGCCATGATTCAGTCAGATCCTTTATATCCTCCTTTTATCCATCCAGGGATCCATTCTGTAAGCCACTATCCAATGTATACCTTAGGTAGGACCAGCCCTCGCCCATTTCGTAACAAGGCCAAAGACGACCGAAGAGAATGATGTTTGGAATAATTATTCTCAGCTGCATCTTTCTCTTTCGTCGTTATTCTTTTCATTTGAAAGAGAAGTACGGCCTTCAACTTGTACTTCTTATGTATATATTGTTGTGATTTAGCATTTCTTTATTCGTTTCTTGGATTCGCATCTACTTGTATTCTCTCGTAGGTATGATGGTTTTGACCCCCATATTCCCGCTAGTCTTGAGTGTGGGAACGGGGCAGGGGCTTCCTCTGCCATCACCATCCGACCTATCCAGTGAGTTCTCGTGGAGTGGGTCGTGGATTAATAATTATTATGGAAACCCAGATGAGGCATCATCTTCCCTACCTAACCTGGACCACATGCAGCTCAGCAAAATGTAGAGGGTGAGGGGAGTTCCACCCCGGGGCTGACCCTTCGAGAAGTACAAGAAGCATCGAATGCTTTTGTTACAGAATAGGCAGGAGGGGAGGTTTGGATTGGAAAATAAGGGCTTTGCGCCTTAGACTGTCTTGTTTTTCTCTTTGTGCAAATCCAGTGCAGGTGTCGAAGGTTTAGCCCAGCCTAGTGAATCAAGCAATTGAATCAGGAAGCGCTGCTCCTCTACTCGGGATAAGGGCTGAAGATGGAGTTTCTGTTTGCAAGCGAGAAGCGAGCAATGCCTCTCTTGTGGCTTGTTGCTCTGCGCTGCGATTATGAAAGGGATGGGCCATCAAAAGCACCAAATTGGCCATTCATTTTCTAATATGGTGTCTAGTTAATTGCATATGTCATTCCTCATTTGAATTAGCGACCTGCTTCCACGGTCAAAATGGATTCTGCGTCCGCGTATAAAAGACCAGCAGCAAGCAGCTCCATCATCCACATCTCATATGCCATGGGGGTCCCATTCGTCATGTGCAAGATCCCATTCCCAGTAAGTAGAGCAGCCTTGAACCCATACCCTTGATTCCCGCCTTGAGCCTCATCCCGAAGGATCAAAGGTTGTTGTTTGGTCTGGATAAGCAGGCATGGACAGGCTCCTCGAGCGGATACCATTCCAATGAGGAAGCTCATCTTCCCATTACCGGCGGAGAACTCAAAGGCTACAAACTCCGTAGGTCTTGTTTTGTAAGCTTGAAGCTTTGAAACCTGTCGAGATTAACTTACAACTCCACTAACCTAAGCTTACCAGATCAAGTAGATCACTACTGAAACCTGTACCGTCCACGCTTCTTTCTCAGCTTCGTCTCTTTCTGCCAACGCCGACCCTTCCCGTACGCTTTGAGGGACTGAGCCTTCGGATCCCACCTTATTGGTCTTCTTTCCGCTGTCACTGATAAATGTTGAACGTATATCGCTCTTCCGCTGAGAAATGCCCTCCTTTTGTCTTTGCCTTGTGGTCCCTAACCGAGACATATGGTTTTGGTATAGAAAAGAAATGTCACCAAGGGGCTCAACCGCCTTATTAGTAGATCTCCCTCCGTCTTATCGTACCTCTAGCAAACAAACTTCGAGCTGCTGAACCGGGCATATAACAATGGTATATTGTTTTTCTACTTGTTTTGAAAGCTTGAAACGACAGACAAGTGGTGACTATGAGACGGCTTGCTACTATGCTTCTTATGTTCTTTATTATGGGGTCCGCGCAACAAGAGCGCTTCTTCTTTTTCTTTGCCACCATGAGACCTTGCCTTATTTTGTAGTGGAGGGGTGGAATCAATGCAATTCGTACTGGTAGTAGTGAGACGTCGCCTTCACTGGGTTGGAATAGTAGGTCTCTCGAGCCTTGTTCTCCGCGGTCATTCTCGCAGCCCTTGCCTTTGTCACTATCAAATCTACACCTGAATTTTTGAACCAAGCTAAGGTCACTAATGAATCTACATATCCTAGGGACGATAAATTCTTTGTTGGTGGTAAATTAACCGTGAATGGACTTTAACTCTAATGGCTGAGCTAGGTATGTATGCTTACCAATCTTGTCCCGAGCGCGCGGGAGACTGCCTCGTCGTGCCCTGTACCGATGTTAATTGAATGAATGGACACCACACAAGTTCAGGCTCCGAATCTATAAAGAGCTGCATGCCTGAGTCCTTCCGCCCCAAAAAAGGATTGTTCCTTGTTGGTACGAGCTTTTCTTGTTCTCTTCTACCGTGGGATTGAATTGTTTTCCTAATGTTGTAAGGGACTCCCAAACACATTCATTCTCTACCCTGTCTACTAAGAAAGAGAAGTTAGTGAGAAGATTCGCTTAATTGAATTGATCGTAGATGTATTGCGAATCTTCCTTGAATTGAGAGGAAGGGAAGTAGGAGCATCGTGTTAAGACAAGGGCGGTGGGTAGGTAAAGACAGGGTGGGTTTACAATCAAAGCTCCAACTGTCACTGATGCCGGGTAAACAACTAGGGCATGAATTTTGATCTAGGACCGGTAGCGGGCGAAATTACGTGCGTGAGAGAAAGAACCTCTTGGTGGAGTCCCCCCGAGAACAGAATAGCACAACTTAGTGACTAGGAGCATAGGGAGAGCCCGTTGCGCCTTGTTTTTGTTTGACCAGCCTATCCTCTTTCGAGAAGCAAGCTCCCTCTAGTTGTCCAGTCCCTGGGCGTCTCTCGGTTTTTGAGCATGTTGGGAGATTAGGCGGCAGTTTCAAGACTCGAAAGCTTGACGAACAAGCAAATCAAGCCCTAACTATTTCTTTGAGTAAAGGGCTTTTCCCTTACTAGTCAAGTGGTAAGGTAGGGCGTATTCTTTGAAGAAAACAGACTTTAGGAAAGTGGTTCAGGTAGCTCAGCTTGTTAGAGAAAAGGACTGAAAATCCTTGTGTCAGTGGTTCGAATTCACTTATAAGCAAAGGGTCCAAAGAACACGTAGCCGGGACCTGATTTGGAAATGAAAATGAAAGAGGAAGCAAAACAAGTAGATTTGATAAAAAAAAACCTGTAGATTACTCGGATTGGTTCTCGCGTCCCTGTGCCAAAAAGGATGGGCGAGTTTGGTTTGATGAGTGTTCATCGATTGGGTGGATCTATATGCTCTGGGGGGTGAGACCAAGGTGTAGCGCAGTCTGGTCAGCGCATCTGTTTTGGGTACAGAGGGCCATTAGGCGAACCACGCACACTAAAAAAAAAAAAAAGATCACCTTTTCTATCACGTAGAATTTTCATTCTTTTGTCTTTTGAAACCCCTTACCATATCAGTCATCAGGTAGGTTTTTGGTATCATATATCGAGATAATTATTATGAAAAAGCTATTCCACTGGTGTGACTTAGATACCCTTTATTTGTGGTATCAGTCATGCTATTTGAATAGCTTGAAATCATCATAGCCTCTCCACCGGTTCTGAAGACTTTTTCGGCATCAATGTGCTCCAATGAAAGAGATTAGACCCTTTCCTGAACCAGAACCGGGCACAAAACGCCGAGGTAGAAAGTCGAAAGTGAGCTCTTTTCGCGTATACGCAATCTCGAAGCCCAATTAGCTCACGGACTATCTCCTCAACCCTAGCGAGTACGAGAGCTTGGTAAGAGAGAATGTCGAATGAGAAAGACATTCGATTATGGCAACATTCGCAACTACCAAAGTGCACTAAACCTAGTAAAGATCTTCGACCTAACGATAATGGAACTTCAAGCCCATTTAATCAATCCGCTTTGTACCTTATTGTTGACCAAACCGGATGCACGTCAGGCCCAAATTCTCTCTCAGTCACTCTAAGACAAAAGGAAGATCAGATCCGAAGTTTACAATCGAAGAGAAAGCTGAGTTCTACACGCTTTTATTTTCAAAAGCTTCACTTGCCTACGGTACTTTATTCAGGATGTGAAACAATACGGTCATCTCTCAGTCGTGTATAAAGAATTCCTTTCTCATTTCCTTGGCGGATAACACAAATGAAATCGATTCCCTGACCACCCATCTTATGAGTCCATTCTTATCTTGTTGGTTTGTTGTACTATTTTGTACCTCTCTCGATTGATAGAAAGACGTTTGGGAGCTAGGAGGGCCTATCGTGAGGGAACTTTTCTTTTCACTGTAGGCGAAGGTAAAGCGGGAGCTGCGTATGTCCATGGTGATCATGGCAGAGCGACTCCTTCTTTAAAAGAGGTTGGTTTTATCGAAACTCTTAGATCCGCTTTCGTTAAAGAAAAAATAGGAGCCCTTGGTTTGGCCGATGTCGATTCGTATGGCAATGCAGACTCGACTCAGGATGAGGATTCCGCTTTTCATACTGCTGCTATGAGCCGAAAGAGCTGGTAAGCTATCTCGCTAAATGAAAGGCAAAAGCACGTACGGGTTGACCTTGTTACAAGGGGCGGGGGCCAGCCAAAGAAGGTCAGTCGGACTCGGTTAGGACCCTTGATCCGGTTCAGCTAGGTTCTTCCATGCAAGAATGTATGTGTATCGGTATCCTCTTCAAGACCAGTTGCTTCCTCTTTTTGTTTATACTATACGTTTGGAGAAACCTGCTAACCCGCCTTTCTTACCCAGTGTGATTCAATCTTTCAGCTCAAACTTTCCTATCGTCGGAAAAGGTAAGAGTACGACTACCTTTTCCTTTTCTTGCCCGAGCCAAGGGATCATTCAGTTTCTACCAAAAAGTTCGCTATCTATTAGTTGTCGTAATCGAATGTATTTCTCATTTCGTGTTAGCTCCTCCAAGAGCTTCCTGGTCCGTAGTAGACGAAACCTTGGACTTCTATCGGACTTATAGCATTGCCTGGTGAGCTCGCCGTTGAGGGTTGGCCTTACAGGAGATTGAGCAGCCTTTCTTTCCCTGCCTGGTATGCTTTCCCGCTTATTGCGCAACTAACCAACTAGCCAAAGAGAGAGGGAGAGGAATCATGTCAATCAATTTGTATGTGCATTTATTTCGTCTGTCCTGTACTTGCCTGCTTAGCTTTCTTAGCCAACATCTCTAGTTTTCCCCAAACCAAGAGGTCCAACTTATCTAGACCCAACAGTCACACTTGAAGCTGAAAGACTGATTTTTTCATAAAGTCGGTTCATAGATCAAGAAACAATGATGAAGCTGCTTACAGGGACGGTTACGCGATACGTCTTTTCATACTCGCCTTTTCTTTAACCCTGCTATCAACCTAGCCATTCTCGCTTGTTGCGTTAAGGGGTCTCCCCACTTTATGTGGGTATATATAGGCTTCGTCGAGAATACCAAGTAGATCGACAACTACAGGTTTCCCTCGTCCTGTGAGGGAGGAAGGGTTCTGGGATACCTCGAGGCCCTTTTTCGTATATTTCATCATTAGCAACCTCCTTTTTATCGATCGTCAAAAACATATGCTTGATCAGCTTCCCTAGTGGTATTGCCTTGTAACTGACCAGCATATACCTTTACTAACTCCACTACTGCTCCCTCAATGCACTACAATGCAGAGTGGAGGAAGATACTAAGGGCAGAGATTTTAGCTAACAATGTCTTGACTGCTTTCCTTGCTCAATGCTTCTCCATCAACTGCAGCAGGAAGGACAGGAATAGGAGAAGGAAGAAAGAGACCCTCTTTCTATTCTAGGTTGGCCCTAGGAAAGGAAAGCTCTTCACTAACATTGCTATCCATCTGTCTACAATTATCAATGTTGATGGTATAAAGAAATCTTCATTATATAAATAGGTGAAAAGCAATCAAAGCAGTATCCAAAACCCACCACCCAACACCTTACGCGCCCGACTCAACGCTTCCTTGCTCACAACCAATCCCTCAAAGCAATGAATGTGGCTAAAAAAAAAAGCACGCCATAGAACAAGAAAAAGTTTCTGCGCGGCAGAATATGGCATTGAACGGTGGTACGTACAGCTTAGAGCCAAGGCATTCATAGGTCTCCTGTCGGAGCTGACGGAAGTGATAGCGAAAATGGCAAGTCTTCCTGGGTCTAGAACATCAAATGGGAAGGCTCTTTCTCCTCACACTAACTCTTATGTATATCCTTCCCAAATCCTAGTGTTGGCTACCATCTTCAAAGCTATTACTGCTACACTCATCTTCTAATTCATTTTTTTTTTCTACAAACCTAGGCGACGCAACTTTTCAATGTTAACCGGCTTTGCTTCAGGGAAGAGTGGATGTGCCAGCTCTTGCAGAAATTTGTCAAAGTTGTTGTGAACCCCCAATTCCGCAGTGGCATGAGAGACAGCAGCCCTAAGGTCAACCCGGATTTCATCTAAACTCTGTGCACATTAGCTTCATTCATTCCACTCCAAAAGTGCCTTAAACAGAAAAGTAAAACGAGGAAGAGGTGGCTTTCCAGTGTTTTAGTAAAGGATCTCCAGCGGGGAACGATGCTCCTTCTCATGCCCATTTGCCAACATCCAGAAAACTCGCCTTCCGCTATCTTCCACTCCGAAGTTTAGGATTGAGTTTCCGTTTTGGTTGGTGATTCTGACTTGCCTTATTTGATTTGAATCACTTGGAAGGGGGCGAGATGCCTTGGAGGCACCATAGATTGCACCGTTGGCAACGACGCTTTTGAGTGCCCCTAACCGGGGCCGTAGATCGAGTTCTGGGCTAAGGTTACCGCCCTTCGAAACTCCCTTCTGGAAAAGGTGAAGTAGATCGACCAGGTTACCGGAAATGACCAAAGAACAAAAAAAAAAGCCAAAAACATCTACAACATAAAATGTTCATCCTTGCCCGACTAAAAGAAAGGGTTTGTGTTGCCCGCTATAAAGGCTTTCCAAGAACTTCCTTGGGTGGGAAAGTCTAGACTAGAGCCGACGACTCGTGAAGAGATAAACCGCCAGAAGTAGGCAAGAAAAAGTCCCTCCCCTTTTTGTTTGCAAGTAGAGCACTAAAAGCATCAAAGCTAGCCTTTCTAGTAAGCGTGCAAGTGGAGAGAATTCTATACTTAAGAGAAACTCTATACCAAAAAATTGGAAATGAGATTCCTTCTAGGCTGACTTTCGTCTGAGCAACTACTGAACTCAACTGAGCTATAAGTTGGAGACTAGATATTGGTATAACACAGGCTGCTATGAGAGGAAATTCAGGCTCACCATCCGTCCGCATAGCGCCGGCCCCAACCTGGGAGACAAGGATCCTTAACTCAGTCTCAAACACATCCGTCCCGTAAAGACATCTACTGTGCTGGCCTTATCTTTTGTCGCTAGCTTCCGCCCCATGAATAAGGAAGATGGTTCCACGGAGCGCAAGGCATCTCTTCCTGCGCTAAGGCATTACATGCCAACGAACTTGGCTGACACTCTTGTCATGCCCAAGTCTGACTTCGCCCTCATACCGAAAAAGCAACCAACTCGATAAGCCAATAGATCTGACGCATAGCTGCTCTGCGCGTATGAAAACATAGACCCCGCATAGCATCATCCGACAATTTAGGCAACCCAATGTTCCGACAAGGCTCCGCTTAACGATCTCTTGCATGGCTCATTTCCCGTGCTTAGACCCACCCAAGTTTAGCAGCCCAAAAATAGGGGAGAACCCACCTACGCACGCCTATTAGTGCTCTCGTGAAAGCCTAAGCTGGTAATTGGCTAAGATTCGTTCCTGCGCGTGAAGTGCAGCAAGCAATTAGGCCTTGCTTTCATTTGGTTGCTTTAGTGAGATCGTATTCTTCCTCAAGCTTGGAGTTGCTCTTAGCTGGTCGGATTGCCGGCCCGCAGACTCATTTCGTTGCCATAGTTCCGGGCGCATTAGGCCCTCTTTTTGATGCCAATACCCTGGGAATGGAAACAAGACCACTAGACATAGCTAAGGAATTGCAAAGAGTATAACCTTTTTTTGGGAATAGAGTCTATTCTTTCTTTCTATATGCACGGCGCGGTATAAGGGTGGTGGGTTTTAGTGGGCATAGGTTGTAGTTCCTTTTCCAGAAGAGAATGAATCATCCGATTCAAGATCCAGACCTTTGCGCTTGAGCAGCACTCCCAGTGTAAGAGGATAACTCTAACTACACAATTCTGGTGGCATAGCAAAAACCTCATCTTCTTTTTTTTTAATTCAGGGGAGGGGGGTGTGCAAATGAATAATTTTTTCACTTCTTATACGGATGTGGAATCCTATGCGCTATGCTTGCTTTTGGTTGGTAAGAATCATTCCCCTTTCTTTTTTTCGAGGGAAGAAATTTGCCTATGGTTGATTTTCTATCAGAGAGAAAGCCAGCATTAATACCTTCCTTCAGCTTTCATAGGTAGGGGATCTGAATAGGCCCTAAGTTGCCCAAAGCAAGGATCTGCTGCTTACCAATAAAAGAATAATGCCTTTTAGGGTAGGTCTTTATACCTGAGGATCTTTTTTAGTTCATCCAAATTTCACTTCTATAGAGATAGCATAACATAGATTGACCCCACAACATATGAGAGGTTAGGACGAGTGAGAGTAATCTCGATTCAACTCCCAACTCATCTTCTACCCCTCTGTGATGAAAGGAGGATCATCAAGGAGATCCCAATTTGATAAAGAGAACTTGTGATTTTGCCCCCTTTTTCTAGTTGTAAGGTCTTGTCCACCTTAGCGTTACAATGAAAAAAGAACTTGATCATTGTTGCATCCTTTTTCTCTAGGCTATCTTTCTTCAAGTGAGAGATCGGATCGTGAAACCTCCTTGGGCTCCTCTAAAATCCTATGCTCATGTCTTTATCCTAAGGGCTATAGAACTCTCTCTGGCAAGCATTAAGCCACATGCCGACTCTAGTTGCTTCTACGTTCTATATTCTCTTCGTCTAACACATTCAACTACCTTTTCTTGCAACGAGTTCGACTGCAGCTCACATTTTGTTCAGTATCTCTTTTTATGTGGCTCCCCCTCAGGTTCGGTTCTTCTTAGTTGTAACCTCTTTTTCTTTTTGAACAACCCGAGCTAGATGACAAAGCTGAGCTCAAAGGTCCCTTTTTGATGCGGTAGAAGTACCTCGCAATCTTTTCTTCTGTTGCTGGGAAAGTCTTCCTCGGAATGTAAGTCAAAGCCTTGAAGGAGTTGTCTCCCCAATCTGACTCTGGAATCAAAACCTTGATTATTACATGCATTTCGATATTTGATGAAGAGTGAGTGCTGGCCTTTTTATATTGAATCACAACCATTTCCCTCTTTCTTGGGGATCAAACTCTAGGGAACAAGCTTAAACACTAATGCAAGCTGTCAATCATTAGATTGTTCTTTTGGTTTGATAAAGGCCGGAGCCCTTGATAAGCAAGAAGCCAATCTTGTAATTCTTGAGGATGATTCTTTGAAGCAATAATTCCATAAGCAAGTACATGACACTAACTTTCAAGCTTCGAAGAAGACTGAAAATGACCCCACTTTCATTGACTAGTAAGTGATAGCTGTTAGGTTCGCAGAATGACCGAGGAAACCAAATCCACTCTCGTGACATGATCGAAGTTTGATCCACCACTTTGAGGAAAGAGATGAGACGCTATACTACCCGTCTTTACACATACGAGAAATCACTCAGGACAAGAGGTGTCGACAACGTGAGCTTGACTGCCTGGCTTTCGGCCTTCTTTCTTGATCCAACTTCATTACTCTGATAGACCTACTTACTGTTTGTGCTTGGCTCAGGATATCCTCCTTTCTTCAAAGCTTTCTACTCAAGTGAGGAAAGGTGCAAACCTTCACAGCCTTTTTTTTTTTTTTTTTTTGCCCAAATGAGAGGTATGCGGAGAGAGTCCTGACTTTTCTTTCTCTTGCCTTTTCCGACATAATTCGGGGCTATCGGTTCCGTTCTGTTCTCTCTTTCTACCTCTGATTTTTGACCTAACTTAACAATCTTTTATGCCCGGCCATACCAACATGGGAGACCTAGCTTCCCTCCCTTTGAAGTGCATTTCTCAGATTAGCTCCCCGAGTCACTAGAAAGAGAGTGAAAGGCCCACTACTTCTTCATTCATGGCCTATTTTTGTATGGATCTCCCTTTCGTATTCATTCGACCTGAGGCAAAAAAAAGAGAAGTCATACAAAGAAAGGTTCTTTCATGCAATGCATAACGGGGGCGAGCCTCCTATGGATTCCTCCAACTCAATGAATGAAGGGAGGAGTATGAGTAAGGAAGACTTTCTATATGAAGATGAAAAGAAAAAGGGTCAAACCATACCATATCTTACTGAATAATCTGACTGAATGAGGAAGAGATCTTTATGTGGTCTCACTTGACTTTACCACCATCTGAAATGCGCGAAACTTCGATTGGTGGAAGCCAGTCTATGAAGATTCTCCCTTTTCTGACGTGCAATTCCCCTCTTTAGGTAAGCATCAAGTATCTCAGCAAATGAACATTTCTCTAAGCTTATCCTGTAGCTTATACGTCGTTTGAAAGCAGCTTCAAGGATCCAACGAATAGCTAAGGTTTGTTGACGATCCCTGGCTACAATCCCAGGGACATCATAAATAGTACCTGCTACTTCTACTTTTTCGACTTCGCATATGGGCTTTATATTGTCTACGACGTCAACCCTTAGTTTGATTACATCGCGTTTAGTTTGAGCTGGGCGATGAAAATTTTGATAAACAATAGCACGAACTCTCGTTCTTTTACCTTCTTTCATGCGAAAGTTGACCAACTTCTTGATCAATTGTTTTTGCTCACCATCCAAGCCCCCCATATAGCTGAGAATTTTCGAGCAATTGGAAGCCGCTTTCGATGACAAGGCCGAGAAATTGATATTACGCAATCGTCACTGTCCATCTTTATCAGCCAACTCCCCTCTTTCCATCTTTCTTTTTAGAGTTTACCACTCAGAATAGAATAGCTTCTTTCACTTTTTTTAGGGTCTCGCTTCCGGAGTTCAAGAGTATACACTCTCCTATCATATGGCTCCGTCCCGGCATCAGGACCTCCCATTTCCTTTGACCAACGGGTCCTCGAACCAAGCGGTCTGGCCTTCACCTACATTCACCCTCTGTCGGTTGGAAATAGTTGTTGGAACTGGTTTTCCAATTCCATCAGGAACCGGGAGTTCTCATTTTCAATGGAGGCCTGTTTACGAGCAAGGAATTTCAGATCCCCACCCGTTCCACCAAAAAAAAGTATATCTATTGCGCGGCGTCCTCTAGCTCGTGCATCAGAATCTTTCTAGTCCTCACGAGTTGGTCTCTCTTTTCTCATTTTGACCTTGTGGTCAAACTCCCCCAGGCTCTGCTCTGTGGTGCGAAACTGTCTCGAGGTCATGAGATCGCGCTCCTCCTCCTCCCTTTTCTCTTTCTTTCTTCTTTTTCGAGTGAATCCTAGAGAAGGTCCTGTGGGTATGATTGAACAACCTCTGAAGGAGAAGGGGATGCCTGCGTTTGTCGTTGATATGGGTCAAGAGGTACCTGTCACCCAAATTCTCGAGTTTGAATAGGGTCGGGGTTCATCATATTGAAAAGTGGCATGGCTTCGGTTTCGATGAAAATAGAAAGAATAGAACCTACTATCCACCCACGCCAGATCCCCTAAACAACCTACATACAAAGATGAGAGTTGTTGAAGAGCCTTTTTAACGGCTTATACCCCAAAGTATGACACGCACTAGATGTAATGGAACGGACGGGATGAAGCCCAGAAGAAAACTACAATAAAAAAGAATGGAATGAGGGCATAGGTTACCTTCAGAGCTTCTCTTTACCAAAAGGTTCTTTGACCCCAGGGGGCTCTATTGTGGAGGGTCTGCCATTCTTAACCGGGAAAAGAGTGGGACTTGAAAAGAGGATGGGAGAGAGGGGAACTCAAACAAGTAATAGAAGAGAGGAGAGAGCCTGAAAAAAGTCGTACTGTGTTGTTTCTATAAACAAATTGTGTGAATTTTGTTAGCGGCAGCTATCCTGCACAAGACTTTTTCTTCACTGTAATTCTGCCTACATTTTTTACAGCAGCATTCCTTTCAAAACACAAAAGTCAGAGTTAGTGCTCATTGACCCCCTTTTTGTTGTTCAAAGTCAATGAATTCCTTTCTTATCTTATCGCAATTTCAGTTGGAAATGCTTTTAGCGCGTATTCAGACTTCCAAAGTTTAGGAGGCTTTCGGTTTCGCCTTTCCCCTTGGGCTTTATCTTCTAATGTAGTTTCAAATACAACTTGTACTTTTTCATGTACGAATTTCGTAAAAAAGCTAGTACCTCATTAGCATTGTGACAACACGAAAAGAAAGCGAGATACTGGAATATGAGGGGAAGGAGCGAAGCAGACTGATAGTTTATGAGGTTCAGGAGAGAAGCCTATCTACCGAGTTCAAGAAGGGAAGATAATATCGTCAAAGGGTCAGGATCAAGAAGAAATAGGAAAAGGTTGATTCTTCTTTTCTTATAGGTAGTCGAGTAAATGAATGAATGAAATCTGGTTCACTCTCAGTCTCTCTCTTTCCTTTAACATTACCTCAGTCCAAAATAGCCCAAAAAATAGACAGAGGATAGCTCAAATTAATGGTCCATCAGAGTGAAAGAAGGAGAATGCATTTTTCTTTAGGCTCCCTATTTATTCAAACACTGTCAAGTCTGTCTCATTCATCTTGTGTTCGTCTTCTTCCTTTGACTATTTATTCAAATACTGTCAAGTCTAATTCTTCTTGAGTTTCTTCTTTTCGAACTAATTACCTCTAAAATGGCCCGAAAAATAGGGCAAAGCATTGATTTAATAATCAATGGTCCTTACACGAAAAAATAGGATTTATCCCAAAAAATAGGGTGAAGCATCAATTTTCTAAGAAATGGTCTTTACAGGATCAATCTAATTCATCTTGTCTTGTTGTCTTGCTTGAGTCTCCCTTCTTTCCCTTCAAATACAGTTAAAGGATAGGAAAAGGTTGAAGATTTCAGCTTTCTCTTTTTCTTTTCTTTCCTCTCTGAAGGGAAGGTAATATCGGTTTCCCGGAGAATGAATCTCGTCTTGCTTTCTTGTTTATAGTTCAATCTGGTGAAGGACAAAGAATCTTTCATTTGACTCTCCTCTCCTGTAAAGTGAAGGGAAGGGAATATTGTTCAAGAAGAATAGTCCATCCAGTTTACCCTCCCTATTCCATCAGGTTCGTGAAGTAGTTCAGTCTCATTCTGGCTTCTTACAGGCAGGAGAGTAAATGAGTGAAATCCAATCTGGTCAGTCAGGTAATATCGGGGAAGGACGGAGCAATGAGACCATAAAGAATAAGCTCATGAGCTTGACCTGATTCTCATCTTTCTTAATTACCTCTAGCCAAAAATAGCCAAAAAAATAGACAGAGGATAGGAAAATATCCCAAAAAATAGACAGAGGATAGGATCATTCTTGTTTTTTTGAGTCTTTACAGTCGAGTAAAAGAGTGGAAGAAGGTTAATCAGTCATAGTCATGTTCTGTCGAATGAATAAGTAAGGAGTCTTAATCTTTGACAGTGTTTGAGGTTGAATCGAGAGTTGAGTCTTGACTTCCTAATTAATTACCTCAATCAATTTTAATCAAAAAAATAGACAGTGGATAGGATTTTTCTTGTTTTTTGAGTGTTTACCGTCGAGTTCCAGAGGGAAATCAGGGAAAATGGACTTTTTTATCCCAAAAATAGGGTAAAGATACACTTTTTAATCAAAAAAAAATAGACAGAAGATAGACAAAATGAATTAATGGTCCTGGAAGGATCAGTCTAATTCATCGATAGTCTTTATAGTTTCAATAGGGTAAAGCAACAATTTGAATAAAAAAAATCACGTATAGATAGACTTTTTAATCCTCAAAATAGATAGAAGATAGACTTTTATCCCTAAAAATAGACAAAGGATAGACTTTTATCCCTAAAAATACACCGATGATAGAATTTCTTTATTAATGGTCCTAACAGTAAAAAGGGTTCAATCAGTCCCATTTAGCCTCTTTTTCACTCTTTTACAGGTCAAATGGACTCTTTTATCCCAAAAAATAAATAGATGATAGACTTTTTAATCAAGAAAATAAGGGAGAGATAGAATGAATTTCTTGTTCGTCTGTCCGTTAGAGTTCCAAAAGGAAAAGGTGAAAGAAGGAGCTCAGCAATGAATGAGACAGAGTTGCAGAGGTTCAGAGGTTCCGCGGAGAATGAAGAAATAGGTTCCGGTGAAGGTGAAGTAGCTCATGAATTGACTCTCCTGCTCCGAATCATACATAATAGCTTTAGAGTGAAAGAAGGTCATATCGGTTCAGGTTCAGTAGCTAATTCATTTATTCAAAGACTGTACACTCTCATTCCATTCATCTTTTGGCTTTCCTCTCCCTTCAAACACTGTTCAGGATCATTCATCTTGCTTTCGTCTCCCTGATTTCATGAATTGAAAGAAGAAATAGGTTCAGGATAATTTATGTTTCATTTTCTTCTTCTTCAGCCCTTCCTGTTCAGTCTCATTCTTCTTTTGTTTCACCTTGGCTTTCTTTCATGTCTAAACTTTTCTTCTTTAACTGTAAACTCTCACTCTCTCATTAAGCTTTCGTTCCGGTCAGGTAATAAAGTCAAAGGTTCCGTAGTCCTCGACCCGCAACAGATGTAGGAGTATTTATTCAATCACATAGTTTGGGCTCCTAGAATAAGGCGCCCTTGGGGCTCTTCCTCCCGATGAATTCCCGGAGGCGGCTGAGCTTAAGCCAAGACTCTTTTTGTTCTGTTTTCTTCTCTTAGTCTAGTGAATGAATTTCTTCTTGGTACTCGTTGAAAAATCTAGTGCTTTACATCCGCTCCAAAAGCTCTATCAATGAATTCAAAAGAAAAAGGTGTCGATAGACAATAAACCAAGGAGCGAAAGTCACTCAGTTGATTGCTAAATCTCTAGTTCATGAGAAGGATTTGTTGTGGTCAATCAATGCTTAAAAGAATTCCAAAATCTTTCTGTTCTTACTGCATATCCAAGAGTCCAATCTACTATGGAGATCTTTCTATCTGATGCTGCAAAGTGAAATATTGAAAATCTAATTGACTTCAATGAAGGTAAAATGCCAATGAAGTACCTGGGATTGCCAGTCTCTCAGTTAGTGATTGTTTGCCTCTACTCTAATTGAGAGAATCAAAGCTAGAGTATAGAGATGGACTGTAAAAGCCCTATAATATGTTGTACAACAGGTTCAGGGTGCCCTCCTTAGCATGAAAGTGTTTACTTGAGTACTGTGTTCATACTGCCAGTGCAGGTTTTGATTTGAAGACAATTGAGAAGAAGACAGAAGGTTCTTATGGTCCGATCCTAATATGGTTCAAAGGGAATGTAGCTTGGCCCTTTACCTATTTATTTGAAATGAAAAGAAGGTGCTTCATTGGTGCAGCTATTTAGGATATACATAGAATGCTTCTAAAAAATAGGAGCATTTTGTTGGTGTATTAAACCCACCAAATAATGGTAGTTGGGTTTGTAGGAAAGTTTGACAGATGTTGAGAGAGTTGGCTATAAGAGATATTATACATGATGTTGGCAATGGAACCAATACATCTCTCTGGTATGACTCTTGGCTGCCTATCGGTTCTTTAGTGGAAAGGTATGTATGGTAAGCAAATCATAGGGGAGTCTGGTCTTCCCAAAAATGTCAAAGTGAAAAAGTACCAGACAGACTTTCTAATTCATAATTCCAGATGGTCCCCCCCTGCAGCTGCAAAACAAGATCGGCAAGAAATGGGGGAGTGTATCAGAGCCATAAGGCCCTTGAGCAGTGAGCAAGAAGATAGAGTTATATGGATGCGGGATCACCTTGTTTTCTCTAAAAGGCGCCTTGAGGTTAATCAGACATAAACAAGCTACTATGCCTTGGTGTAAACCGGAGAGATTTTAAAGAAGGAACTCATTCGTGGACTGATTCCCACCCTTTACCAGAATCAAAATGAGGAGCGGTATGGTTTTAGAAAGGTAGTTATTATACAGATATCCTGTAACGAATTGCCCGATTCACTACGATTACCTATTCCCAATCACACAGGAATTCTTGCTTGTCAGCCTACCAATGATGCCTTTTCACTTGAAGACAATTGCTCCGCCGCATCAAAGAATTCTTCTGACACACGATTATCTTCTACATAGGCGTAGATCTAATATTTAACAAATCTATCATTTCATAGATATTATGAAAACTTCTATCTATCTCTGAGATAGGGATTTATTTGGTCCCAAAAAAGATATCCTAAGAATAATGGAGGAAGGAATTGTGGAATGAGATTGACTACAAGATGTTGATGCATCACCTGTGAAGAGCTTAGCTGAGCAACTTGTATGAACAACTCGTGCCGATCTCAAATCCAGCAGCAATTCATTCAGAGGGGAGATGCTATTAGTTCCAGGAAGGAAGGGTATGAGGAGAGAAGACTTTACTCCTCATCATAGGCTCGCTATGATGGACTCTTATTTTAACCCCTAACGAACTAAGAGTCAGATTATTAGGAATAATAGATCTTGAATTTGCAGGCTCCTGTTGGCGCTGGAAGTCTGTTGATTAAGCTCATTTTGAGAATAATCTTTTTTTCTATTTGATTTGGCTTGAAAGTCAAAGTTAGTGTAAGATAAACATAATAGAACTATGTTTTTTATTGTCTTGTATTTTCCATTGATTAAAAGGAACACGCACTAAGTGACTAACGGAATAATAAGACTGAACTAATTGACTAGCTCTTTTAATACTTCACCGATTCCACTAAGACTGGGAAGCTGTGACTTGAGGTCTTTCAGAAGAACTCGAAGATGGAAATTCCAAGGGATAATGATTTTTAAGGGGGGTGGGTTCGCTAGTCGCTATTACACTGCGATCCTTAAGGAAATTTCAGTATTAAATGGCTTCTTCGTTAGCTTTTCATTATTCAATTCATTATAGAATCTGGTCTGGTTACGCTGGTATAGCAATCCCTTCTAGCCGTCGCCGTCAGTGTAGTTCATTCATTAATTTGATTTTTGGTCAAAGGTCGAGCCCGCCATTTCCAATTGCTATACACGAGTAGGGACAAGTGCCTACATAACCTACTCAAGATCAAAAACGAGATCTTCTAAGGTTGGTTATAGTAATGATGGAAATAGTATTGGTATCAGACCCGAATGTAGTTCTACCGAATTTCGTTTAGAGGTCCGTTTGCTCAGTTCCTCAAAAAAAGAGTAGATCTGAGGTAGGTTCTCTCTTCCAGCTCTACGGATACCTTAAATAGTGTTGCAAACATGATAGTCAAGGTATAGTGAGCAAGAAGAAAGAAATGTGGTTGCCCCGCTTTTAGCAAAATCACGAATCTAACTATACGCTTCACTTTCTATGAGTTAATATAGTGGAATACTAGGGTAGCATATACTTAGAAAAGAATACTACCTGATAACACCCATGACTTTAACATGAATGAATATGACTAAACATCAATCTAAAAGTCTTATTTATCTGGTGACTAAAATGTTCTATTTTTTTCCTTAAGGAATCAATCATAGGAAGTGTCATAAGCATGGAAAGCTGCTAGAAAGTCGCTTTTGAGAAAATCCCTGCAATAAAATTCTAACCAAGTTTTATTGGAAACGATTTTCGAAGTGGATTCTCTCACCAGACGGGCAGACCTCTCAAGATCTGGTAAAGAAAGTTGGCTTGAGACTGGATTAAATCCTTTATATATCCTATTCTTTCTCATTTCTCATTGGGATGTCAATCAAATTCCTTCTATCTTACAGAATCCGCTGCACTATTAACTATTAGGTTAACTTGAATCTAGATAAATTGACTTCTTTCTCAAATTGAAATAAAGGAAGAGGTGATTTGGAGAAGAATGAACTCCTCCCCGAGCAGTGACATATCCTAGAAAGAGGGTTTTTACCGGTCGTTAAGATAGACGTTAAGATAGAGTCGGTGTCGATAGCGGTTCTTGCAGGATCAGCAACGAGAAGTTTTCCTCCGCAGTACTTCAAGAAGATGTGATCTTTCTAACTCGTATCTTGCTGGTTTAGTAAGCCTTTATGATTATTCAAAGTAATGGATAGAAAGAAAGCCCCCTCCTTTTTCTTGTTCTTTGTGTCAAGATAGGAATGGGAGCTGTTTGAATGGATGCCTCCTTGTTGAATCAGCCAAGTCAGTAGCCTTTCTGCGAGATTGCCTTGTTGATGCAAGGAATAAAGGGCAGCTCTCTTTGATGCCAAGAAGAAGTGGAGGAATAACTGCAGCGAAATCATCTGTAGCACATTTCTTCAGGGGCCCACTCTCAAAGGTAAAGATTATTTGTCAAGGGCAAAGAAATCTCCTCCTTCTTCAGGCGAGATCTAATAGAGGAATCCTTCCGTCGCTCGACTAGAATAAAGCGCTTGTGTCATATTATTATGATTTATATAACATAGAAAGCAAAATCAAGCAATTTGATACATTTTTTCTCTGTATTCTGTATTAGGTATCTAATCTAATATGAGTCACCTTTTCTTGGTTCTTCTATTATTCTTATTATTCTATTACGTTTTAGTTTATATAATTTATACTTGATAGTCGGAATTGTCTTTTCGTCTCTATCTTCTTTTTCTTTCGGTTCATCCTATTTAAGTTGTTAATTAGACCACATAAGTCTGTTACTTCTTTATTTAGGTTGAGTATTAACCAAAAGATGATTCTGATCATAGACTGGATATCTTTTTCTATCCATTTTGATTCCAAGATTGATATTCATATCTTTTTTCAAACTAATTTGCTTTTTTTCTATCAACAAAGAAATTACGCGTATATGTAATTACTTCACTCTGGTTGGGTTCATTGTATTTTGATTGATACCACTCACGGCTTACTAAGTCTTTAGCTGGACCTTTGTGTTTAAGTAGAAAAGTATATCATCATTTTGACTCACTAATAGATAGGATTTAGGTGCTAAGAAGTAACCCGTCTCTACTTTATACTCATTCATTTTCCCAATTCAGTCGATGAAAGCTCTTCTTCAGGTATTAGACTTACTGGAACAGCTGAGTCAGTATAGTAACAGTATTCAGTAATAGTTTTCTCTGAAAATGTACTTGTAGATATGAATAAGCTGTAATAGCAGCCGACATATGAACAGCTAATTCTAGGTGGATTCCAGTCAATGTCGTTAACATCAGCAGTCTTTATCTTATAAGTCAAAAGTAATGATCCCCCAGATTCTTAATATCGAAGAAAGATTGACTCTTTATCAATTCTTCAAATCTCTCTCTAGTGCGTATATCTTATCTCAATTACTCTACTTTCTGGATTAATACCTAATCTCCCAATATAGTATAGTGCATTCATAAGAAGAAGAATTCTATATAAGACATAGCTTCTTCATCTTTCTTCTTAGATTGATTAGATTTTTGTCTACTTGCAGTGATGAGATACATTTTGAGAAAAGGACTAGAACACTTTTCAAATCAGAATCTCCGGTATAACCTTGTAACCCAAGTTTTTTGCATACTGAACCTCTTTGCTATAATAGATCCCCACAAATTCGCCTATTGGGAATAGTCAACTTCCATCCCCTTTATTCTTTTATTCTTTGTCTCTAGAGGGAGATAAGAAAGATATGACTGACAGAGCCAAAGCTTCATGCTCACTT